AGGGTGAGTCTTTGCAGCTGCAGACCCCTGATCCATCAGGGTGAGTCTTTGCAGCTGCAGACCCCTGATCCATCAGGGTGAGTCTTTGCAGCTGTAGACCCCTGATCCATCAGGGTGAGTCTTTGCAGCTGCAGACCCCTGATCCATCATGGTGAGTCTTTGCAGCTGCAGACCCCTGATCCATCATGGTGATCTTATCTTAATATGTCTGAAGCTAAAACCGCAAATCCTCTTATTTTAAATCAATGTTAAAGTAAAGCTGTTAGAGTATAAAATTGTTTCAAATAACCAATCAGTTATGGTTTCTGTGCCAGCGTATATCATCATAAGAAATGATTTAGTTTTATAACTTCACTGCATGGACACAACAGGAGCCAGGACAAATCTACAGAGCCATGGACCCCTGAGAGCCCCCGTCTAGAATCACCCCTTCCTTTTAATATACTGGAAAAAAAAAAACATTAAAGCACAATATCTGTTCTTCCAAACTGTAAATAAAAAAATAAAACACTTATTTTATTTCACTATCTGTAAAATGACTTTAAACCAGCAAACATCTAAGGTTAGAATAAACTGTGTGAAGGTTGATCATGATATGGGCTATAGAACAAACAGTATTTTATAATGTCATTTTATGGGTTTTAACGTATGTATTTTGGATCTTAGAGTCTGAAAACCTAAAAAATATTCTGCAGAATATTTAGATTTCGTTGTAAATCTGTTATTAAATAAATCTGATCTTTTTGGAAACCCACAGTCTTCTTGGCAAGAAGTGCAGAAAACCTACCAAGAATCTTACAGGTAATTGATCATTACATCAGGCATTTAAAGCCATTTACTCTGTGCTTATACAAAACGCTTAAATAAAAACGTGTGTTTAGTTTTATTTAACAATTCACTTCCTTAATGGAAGCTACTTAACAAAACCTTTTATTAAAGTTTATAAATATTTCCATAGATGTTGATGCTTTTGTCTACAGGCTGTTTAATCAGTTGTTTTATGCTGCGGTGCTAATTCTATCTTGTACACCTACCTATAACATTAGCTCAAATGGAACAGCTAAATCCAGGTATATTAATTTGGATACATTTGTTACATTCAGTTTTTTTTTAAATATAAAAACTTAAGTGTTTTTTTAAAGGATAATCTTTTGAAATCAGTATTAAGATAAAATAACTAAGTGCACTTAATGTTTAATCCAGAGAGCTTTGCTCAAATTTTCAGTCAATAATTTAAAAGTTTGTTTTCAACAAACTGCTCTCACCAAGATGCTGCATTTAAAGCTACCGGATGTTTTTAGAGTTGATATCGGATCAAATTTTTTGCTTTAATCCTGATACCTTTAGTTTCACATCTGCAGACTAAATTTTCCAACAAAGCCTCTTTTACTTTCAGTCTAAAAGTCAGTACTTTACGATAGGATTTTTTTTTTTATTATAAAAAAGAGGAAAATCTGTAACGTTGGCTGGTTTTCATTTGATAGACCCGTATTTTAATTTAACTAACGTTTTATAATCCCAGTGTATTTTTTTAATTTGTGCATTTTTTCAGAGGGACTGCATACATGCTCATGTACAGAAAAGATACAGCAGACGGAGGCCGACAGCAGGATCTCTCAGGCTGAAGGGATTCGAGACTAAAAGGAGGATAATGACACATAGGAAATAGCGAATAATAATTTGATTTTGACAGTTTTATTAATCTGGTTTAAGGTTGGTTGTATGTATTCTTATAGTTTATATTATTTATCACTTTTAGAAGTTTTCCAGAAATGCTAAAACAGGCAGCAATTCCTGACTCAAACCAGCAGATGGCGCTCGAGAATCAAACGTGCTATCAAAACACAAAGAATGGTGGATAATATAGAACCCCGAATGATTCATAATTAAATAAATAAATAAAAAAC